TATATATATATGAAACCCTAACTAAGAATGAACTCCAGGAAGCTGTCTGGGACATTGGCATGCTGTCCTGGCATGCATGCGTGACCCATTACACACTAATAATAATAAAGTTTTTTACATAGAAATTTCAGTGTCCCCTTCTGATTGGCAGGAATATAAAATTTCGAGCTTTGAGCAGAGGCTGATGAATGAGATAGAGTTCCGCTTGGAGCGCACGCCCGTGGATGAATCAGACGAGGAGATCCAGCACGATGAAATCCCCACGGGCAAGTGCATCGCACCCGTCTTCGACAAAAGACTCAAGCACTTCCGGGTGATGGAAGGCTCTCCGGTCACCTTCACCTGCAAAATTGTCGGGATCCCGGTTCCAAAGGTAGGGAAGATGGCCTGCCAGGTGACCGTCAGCAGCGTGGAACTATCTACAAGGTCTTCAGGAAAGTCTCGCGGGGCTGGGATGTAGCTCAGCGGCAGAGTTCTTGCCTCTAATGGCTCTAACATGTCCTGTAGACCAGAAAAAAAAAATCTCGGGGAGTAAGAGAGATGGCCTCTCAGTTAAGAGCAATTGCTGGGATGGGCGTTCAGTTCCCAACACTGTCAACCACCTGTAACTCCAGCTCCAGGGCATCTGATGCCCTCTTCTGGCCTCTTCCTGAACCCCCACCCACCCACTAGAAACATTAAAAAGAAAAGTTTGAGGCTTGGAATGTAGTATGCATGAAACCCTGGATTCGGTCCTCAAAACCATATTAAAAAATTTTTTTGACTGGGTGGTGGTGGTGTCACATGACTTTAATCCCAAAAATCAGGAGGGGAGGCAGAGACAGTCAGAACTCTGGGTACAAGCCCAGTCTAGATTACAAAGCCAGTTCCAGGACAACCTAGGCTACACAAAAAAACCGTGTCTGGGAAAAAAAAAAATCAAACCCCAAACCAAACCAAACAAATAAACAAAAGCAAAAAAACAACAAAACCTAGACATGGTGATGCATGTCTGTAATCTCGACACTCAGGAGAATCATGAATTCAAGACCATCCTTGGCTATAGAATATGTTCGAGGCCAGCCTAGGCTGCATGAAACAAAACACACACACACACACACACACACACACACAAAACAACAACAACTTATACTGCAGTGAAACATCTACAGAATAAAAATGAAAAATAATACTCAAAAATTAGCAAAGCCCAGGTGATTTAGAAAAAAAAAAAAGGATCAGGAACAGGATTATTAGGCCAAAAAGAAATCAGACTCGGTAGGGTTTTTTAATTTTTGGGCAGGGTCCTAACTGTCCTGGGCCTCTCTATATAGACCAGGCTGGCTTCACAGCCATAGAGATCCACCTGCCTCTGTCTCTGGAGGGCGGGGATTAAAGGCGTGTGACACCACTTCAGACCTTGTTAGAATTTTAATAAAAGTGTAGAACAAATTTCTTAGTCGTACTGCCTTGTTTTGGATTATTGACTCTCATCAAACGCACAAGATGACTCTTCTTCATTGGGTTTAGTTTCTACTCAGCACCCACAGGGTGCCCTTTGCTGTACAGAGAGGGATATCTTAGTGTCCTTGCTGTTAGGTTAGCAAATGCCAGCAATGCCCCATGCTTGGTGCTGGCTGCTGAGCGATCCTCTGAGTCACCGCATTCCTTGGCAATCAGGGAAGGATTTGCACCGGTGTGGCTGCGGCAGGGGATCCGCTTTCACAAACACAAGAGCGGTACTGCCACACACGGATCGGTAACCAAGGAAGAGGCGAAGTGGGCACCTACAACCAATACTTTATCCCTCTGCCCCCCCACACCTTCCTCCCACCCACCTCCCTGCCCCGCCTTGAAGAACTCACTCTGGCATGTGCAGTGCTGACCACCGAAATATTTGCACAGCAAATCTGTACTGATTTCAGTCTTAGAGTTTGGTTTGGGGCCAGGGTGTAAATTTAGCAACTTGATCCTAGCCTTATTCCTTTTGATCCAATAAACCATCCTAGCCTTTCAGCTTCGTGGCTGGGGTTTACATAGGATAATAGGGGATGATCCAAGTTCCTGTGTTCATTATTTTACCTGTGAAGACATATTTGGTCTGTAAAACATTCTTAAGCTAATTATGAGGTACAATAAAGATAGCCAAAAGCTTTACCGCCATGCTAAACTACATGGTATTTCTTACTAGAGTTCTGTATAGGTCCAGAGGGAGGTGCACAGTATTCTGTCCTTTTGAATATGTTTTATGATTTTTCTAAGTGTTTGCAGAAGATGAGTGTTTTGTCCCAGGGATGGCATTCAACCTCCGTCTCATATTCTGAAGCTCCGGCATGGTGAGTCCTCACCAACAGCTCCTTCTCCCTCCAGGTTTATTGGTTCAAAGATGGGAAACAGATCTCTAAGAGAAGTGAGCACTGCAGAATGAGGCGAGAAGGAGACGGGACCTGCTCCCTGCACATCGAATCCACCAACAGTGACGATGACGGCAACTACACCATCATGGCGGCCAACCCCCAGGTGGGTGGCAGGGCTCCCAGGCATCAGAAGGAGTGACCCAGTGACAATGCATTGAGTCTGATGGCAGAAAACAAATCAACACGAAAACGGGGGCTGGAGAATTGGCTCAGTAGTTAAGAGCATTTGCTGCTCTTCCAGAAGACCCATGTTCAGTCCCCCCCCCCCACACACACACATATAACTAAAGATTGTATGTGTGATACAGATGCCCTCTGGGACCAGAGGAGGGTGTCAGATCCCCTAGAACTGGAGTAACAGGTGATGGTGTGGATGCTGGAAACGACTCTGGTCATCTGAAGTGCAGCAAGCTCTCCTAACTTCTTAACTGGGAGGTGCTATCACATGCCTTTGATCCCAGCACTCAGGAAGTAGAGACAGGCAGATCTCTGGGCTCAAGTTCAGCCTGGTCTACAGACTGAGTTCCAGAACGGCCAGGGCTACACAGAGAAACCCTGTCTTGAAAAACAAAACTAAACTAAAATTGTATTGCTTTCATTTCTCTTGGGCAAAGATAATCTTTCATTGTTAGAAAAACATGTATAATGTTTTGGTGAAGAAAACATTTATGTAAATATGCATTTCTCCTTATTTTAATGTTGCTTGTTTTCTGCTTCTCAGGGGAGAATCAGCTGTTCTGGCCACTTGATGGTACAGAGTTTGCCCATTCGAAACAGACTCAGCCCTGCTGGTCAGTCTCACAGGTAATGCAGACTCCCCTTTTCTGGACCCCTCCCATGTCCCCACTCACTACAGTGACTCACTACCTAAATGTACGGCACACGCTGTGCCACCACCGGGGGCTCCTTGGAATACAGACATCAAGCCTGGTCCAGAGCCGGAGCATCCAAATCAGAATTCGCACTTCGAACAGAATCCCCAAGAGATGCATGGGCACATTTAAGTTTGAGAAGCTTCAGGCTTTGGCATTTTTTAAAAAACAAAAACAAAACAAAACAAAAAACAGTCTTCCATGTAGCCCAGGCTGCCCTCAAATATAGCAGAGGATGACCTTAATCTGATACTTCTGCCTTCACCTCCTAAGTGTTGGGATTATAGGCTTGCACCACTACACCCAGTCTTTGTCCTACTGGGGAATGAACCTGGCTTCATGCATGCTAAACAGGCACTAGCCCAATTGAGCAACATTCCCAGTCCCTTTGATACAATTGTTATGGTTCAAAACATTGTATCCACCAGTAACACCTGTGCACACAATGCCTTTCAGACCCTTTGAAGCCACGGGCTTTTCTATTGCCAGACAGAAACTAGAATATTTCCTCTGTCATCTCCATGATAACTGATTTTCTTCTCAGATTTTATGAAGTACTAATGAGAAAGAGCCTGGCTTTCCCTTGGAGTCTTAGGGTGCCACAAAGAATTAGCAGGTTGCTGCTGAGGCTGATGAGTTAAATGACTTACTAAAGGACCAAAAATAGAGGCCCATGTTTCACATAGAGTTACACTGCCATCGGGAAGACACTTCTCTGCCCCCTCCTTTATCTTTGCTATTTTGTTTTGTTTTCAAGAACAGCTGTTACTGTTGGTCACTCTGAGTTCAAGTTCATGGTCATGTTTAATTATCAGCCATAATTTATTGCCGGGATGAATTTTATTGTGGTCACAGGCATTTTGTTCTGGGTGATTTTGGGAGGGCCTCACTTTGGGCTCTCAGATGGAGTATTGATTTCTGTGTTTATTTTGATGACTTTTCAACGAGTTCCAAAGCCCACAGAGAGGGGAGCTAAGCCAATTAGTGCTGAATGACTTCAGAGAGGAAGAAGCTAAGTCTTGCTTGTTTTATTTCCACTGTTTTTAATTACGTGTATGTTCGGGGTGTGCTCACTGAGTACAGCAGATCCTCTCGAGCCGGAGTTACAGGTGCTTGTGAGCCACCCAGAGTGGGCGTTGGGAACTGAACTTGGGTCCTCTGGGGGCATCCAGTCCGGAGCCTATTTCCTGGATTTCAGAGTTTGGAGATGATTCTACAATGTACAATGTCACAAGGAGTTTTGGTTTTGTTTGAGTTTGGTTTGGCGCGTGTGTGCATGTGTGCGTGTGCGTGTGCGTGTGCGTGTGTGTGTGTGTGTGTGTGTGTGTGTGTGTGTATCTAAGCTGTGATTGATTGACTGTCCAGTGAAGCCTTTCTACTCTAGGGTGTGGTTCATTTGGTAGAGTACTTACCTAGCATGCTCCAGGTCCTGGGTTCCATCTCCAGTAGGTACTACATAAACTGGGTGTAATGACGCTTGCCTATAATGTCAGAACTCAGGAGGTAGAGACGGGAGAACCAGTTCAAGGTCATCCTGGATTTACTTATTGAGCCCAGCCCAGGCTACAGGAGACCCTGCCTCATTATAGCCTTACAGCCATTTCTAAATGCACGTGGTTATTGTTATACTTTTGCAAATGCTTCTTGTAGGGGAAGGGCCAGAATGCAAGAGAGAGACAAGGAGCCTCTACAGGAGCGCTTTTTCCGGCCACATTTCCTGCAGGCCCCGGGTGACATGGTGGCTCACGAGGGCCGTCTCTGCCGGCTGGACTGTAAGGTACTTCCAAACACCTGTCCTTAGCTCCAGGCCTGACCCGAGTTTTCGTCTAGTTATTCGTTTGCACTCATTCTTGTCTGTGTCTGTTGTGTGGGGTTTCTCCCAGACAGAAGGGTCTTAGGGAAGGGAGGGAATCGTCCCCGCCATAGGCTCCTTTAGAGCATTTTGTCTTTTTAATACCATACAGAAACATGCATTAAAATCTTAAACTATCTTAATAAAAATTATGTAAGCATAAAAATTTTTAAAGAAAAAAACTTTTATGTGGGCCTTACATAAGTCAATTCTTCACTGTGAAAAGATAACCAAAAAGGAGTAACGTGTACTTTTCCATATGGTCCCTGGAATCCTTCATTGCTATGAAGCCAGAAGCTTAGATTTTTTTTTTTGCATCTTTGGTTGTAGGGAGGGGAGAACCTTTGAAAAGTCATAGGTGTGAGAAGACAGAGCCAAAGCACTCTGAGCGAACAGGGTCGTTTCCTCACAATAAGCCATCTCTGTCACCTTTTGTGATTCTACATTCTGATTTATCAGTGAAACTTCATAGGTTCAGGTCAGTGAAGGCTGGAGGTTAAACATGCGCAGACAACCCCTTCCTGTGCGTAGCTCTTATCCTCCTCAGCTGCTGTCTAAATGACATTCAGGTTCTATGCTCTCCTGTCTCTAAACCCCAAACACTACCAGTGCCTGGCTCCCATCCCAAGAGATTCTGGTTTAATATTAAAATTAATATTAAAACTAGGCATCAAGATGTTTTTATATTTAGTCCATGAGCAAAATCTGAGAACTTTGATTTAATATCTGACTCTTCTCTTAATTCTGGTATCTAAGCTGAAGTCAGCCCTCTTATTGACGCCACGGGCCTGTTTTATCCACTCAGCTCAGCCATTATTCCGCTCTAGGATATAATCACACGGGTTAATCGTGGCTGAAGGGAGGCCAGGATTCCACACAGTTCAAACTCACAGCGCCGTTGATTTAGATCCCTCTTCCCTGCATTTCCCTTCGCCATCTATCTGGTGCCAACAAGGATAAAGCATCCACTCACCAGATAAACATGCCTGTCATCAGCGCGCCACCTGAATCAGCTGTTCCGTTGGTTCTTAGGTGAGTGGCTTACCGCCCCCAGAGCTGACGTGGCTGCTCAATGGGCGGCCCGTGCTACCAGATGCCTCCCACAAGATGCTGGTCAGAGAGACGGGGGTCCATTCTCTGCTCATCGACCCGCTCACGCAACGCGACGCAGGGACCTATACGTGTGTGGCTACCAACAAAACCGGGCAGAATTCCTTTAGTTTGGAGCTCACCGTAGTAGGTAAGTCTCGCTGAGGGACCTCTCTAAGCAGAACTCCCTTCACGCCGACTGTCCGGATACTCAGGCGCTCTGGCAGAATTCTGGAATCCCTCGCCCCAGCAATCTGTTTCCCCTTCGCCACAGTAGACCCTATTTTCTACACTGGTTTCTGAGATACATAGTAATCCAGACATGTAAGGTGGTTGCTTTTCATTTTAATCAGACAATCAATGGGAGCAACCGCAACACTTGACTAAACAATCAATGGGTTATTTAATCGGCTGTCACTAAATTCTAGTCTTTTGCCCTCAGTCTGTGATTCCTGGAACACACCAGGCTCTTCTGCTCCCTGAGTTACGAACCTTTGCATTGCACCAGTGATACTGCTAACTGAATGGTCCTTAACCAGCCCTCTTCTCATTCAGGACCAAGGATTTATCAGCTCAGTTGGCAGAGTACCCAAGAGCACACAGAGTCCACTTAGACTGGTATGATGGCATATACCTGACACTCAGCATTGCGGAGGTGGGGACAAGGAGGTCATCCCACAGAGATAAAAACCAGCCCGGTTACCTGAAGCCTCCTCTCAAAAATAAAAGTAGGAATGAATAAAATGTAAAGGCTAAAGTTGAGGGTCACCACCCGGCACAGTGGGTTCACCAGGCAGCCCTCGGCCACCTCCCCTGGGTTTCCATGGCACAAGAATAGGCAAGCTTCCCAGAGTGCTTGCAGACTGCCATATTCATTGTTCACAGCTCCGCCTCCCTCCAAGCTCTGAGCTTCCACGGACAAGGCGCTGGTTGGCTATGTTGTGTTCTTACTTATGGAGAAGGAGATGTGCCACCGCCTGCGTGTGGTCAGAGTGCAGCTTGCAGACGTAGTCTGGCCCCTTCTGCCACGCAGGCCTGGGAATCAAACTCAGGTCTTCAGGCTTAACGGCAAACGCCTTTACCCACTGAGCCACATGCTGAGACCTCGGTTTGGGTTTCTCTGATGTTTGCCTCAGAGGAAGGTCAACCCCAAATGTCGAATCCCAAAGCAAATGAGCCTTCACCTAATAAGACGCCATGAAAGAACACAGCCCTGCCACAGAAAGGGAAATAAGACATCATCAGAGGCAGGGCAGTGGTCCAGTGGGGATCTTAGTGCTAGGCTTCCTCCCACTATGGGCAGCCCATTAAGTAAACCAACCTGAACTAGGCAATCCCAGCACGAGGGAGGCAGAGGCAGGCGGATCTAAGTTTGAGGCCAGCCTGGTCTACAGAGTGAGTTCCAGGACGGCCAGGGTTACAGAAAAGCCTGCCTTAGGAAAAAAAAGAAAAGAAAAGAAAAGAAGGAAGGAAGGAAGGAAGGAAGGAAGGAAGGAAGGAAACCAACAGCCTGCACTGCTGTTCCTCTTCCTCAGCCAGTGGCTGCTCTCCTGTGAACCCTTTTCCTTTGCTCTTAATTTAATCTCACCAGCAAAATAGGAAACTGTAATTTTGCTGCAGGCTTATACCTTTTTCCATATCTCTAAAACAGTGACTTTGATAGATGAGGCTACTTTCTGGGGATGCATAATGTTGTAAAGGTTTTTACCCCAAATACATTTATGGGAGGGAACATGCAAAATAGAAAAATGACAATGTGGCCAAATCTAAAGAGTCAGTTGGGGGCTGGAGAGATGGTTCAGTGGTTAGAACACTCATTGCTGATGCAGAGGACCTGGGTTTGGTCCCCAGAACCCACATGGCAGCTCACAGAAGCCTCTAACTCCTGTTCCAGGGGCTCTGAAGTCCTGCCTAGCCCTCAAGACCCCTGAATGCACAAAACTCACCCAGACTCCCATTCATACGCATACACAATAAACAAAAAAAGTTTAAGTCGGGTGAAAATTTAGTTCCTATGAAATAAAGTCCTCAAAAAAAATCAGTTTTAGTACGTGAAATATGTTCTCAAAAGTCATTATTTGACTATTGAGGTGACTTAGTGGATAAAGGCATCTGCCACCAAGCATTCTAACCTGAGTTCAAATCCCGGGGCTCCACGTGATGGAACAGGAGAAATAACTCCTGACAAAAGCTGTCGCACACACATATATCCAAACACATGCACACGGGCACGCACACACACACATAAACAGGAACATACACACACCCAAACACACACAAATCAAATGAATATAACTTTGAAAAACTTTTTTTTTTTTTTTTTTTTTGGTTTTTCAATACAGGGTTTCTCTGTGTAGCCCTGGGTGTCCTAAAACTAGCTCTGTAGAGACCATGCTGGCCTCAAACTTACAGAGATTTGCCTACTTTTGCTTCCTGAGTGCTGGGGGGGGGAAAAAAAACTTTTTTTTTAAAGTGACTATTTCTGAGTGGGTATGGTGATACATGACTTTATTCCCAGTCCAAGTAAAGTTCAAAGCCAGCCTGGTCTACAAAGCAAGTTCCAGGACAGCCAATACAATGGGACTCTGTCTCAAAATAAAATAAAATAAACGTGATGCGTCTGGGGCAGAAACCTCAAGGGCCTTGCTACTATTCAAATATAAAAGTAACTTCTCTTCTTTAGCCAAAGAGGTGAAGAAAGCACCCATGATCCTGGAGAAACTCCAAAACAGTGGTGTTCCCGAGGGCCACCCGGTGAGACTGGAGTGTCGCGTCGTAGGCATGCCCCCACCCGTGTTCTACTGGAAGAAAGACAACGAGACCATCCCTTTCAGTAGGGAGAGGATCAGGTACAGCAAGCACCGTCTCTGAGGAGACATCCATGCTCAGAGGAGCCTGGTGGGCCATCCAGATAAGCCTGCAGCCTTTACAGCTGGCTTCTTTCATTGAATATGGCGCTACCGAGTTTCAGCCATGCTGTTGTGTGTGTTCCAAGCCTGCCTGGGCCACAGTGAATTCCGAGCCAGTCTAGGCAAGAGTAAAACTCAGTCTCAAAAGCGGGTGGGATATGTGTGTGTGTGTGGAGCCCCTCTCTCTGTCAGAAGTCTATTTTCCTTCTCACTTTGCCTTAATTAAAGTCTGTTTACCAGAGAGAGAAAGCAATACTGCCTGCACTTGTCCGAGGTGTGGTGGCCTTCCCATCCTCCCCAGACTCAGGAGGAATCAGGAGTCCAAAGTTATCAGCTTGGCTACAGAGCAAGTATGAAGCTGTTCTGGGCTCATTTTCCAAAATGAAAAGTTCTTAAAAATATACATGGAGGAGCTGGAAAGATGGCTCAGCAATGAAGAGGACCCGAGTTCAATTCCCAGCATCCTCCCTGGGTGAATCCCAGCTGCCTGTAACTCTAGTTCTAAAGACCCAGCACCTGGTTAAGGCCTCCACAAGCTCCTGCATATATGGAGAACACAAACTTACAGAGGCACACCTTCACATAAATGAAAATAATAAATCTTAAAAATTATACAAGGAACATATAAGATCTGGCATATTTTTGTCATATTCTCAATCATTTTAGGACCCAGACAAGGTTTTGTTTTGTTTTGTTTTGTTTTTTTAATAAACAAAAAGCTGCATTAAGGACCAGGGGTGATATCGTATCCCAGCATGTGGAAGGCAGGTAGGCAGGAGGGTCAGGAGTTCAAGTTCTTCGGGACCTGGTATCCTGGTGCTCAAGGTCACTCTGGGCTGCGTGAGACCGTCTCAGAAAGGAGGGGAAGTGGAGAGATGGCTCACCAGTTAAGAGCAGTTGTTGCTCTTGCAGAGGACCCAGGTTTGATTCCCAGAACCCACATGGTGATTCATCTGCAACTCTAGTTCCAGAGAATCTGATGCCTCTTCAGACTATCAGTATATATGTGGTGTGCATACTTGCATACATACTCAAATAAATATATTTTAAAAAAGGGGAAGGGTTAGAGGGCTGGATTCAGTAGCAAGAAGAGACAGGAGGATCTCTAAGTTCAGGCTAGCTCGATCTATCTAATGAGTTCCAGGCCAGCCAGGAGGCTCTGTTTCAAAGAGGGAGGGAGGGAGGGAGGGAGGGAGGGAGGGAGGGAGGGAAGGAGAGAGGAAGGGAGGGAAGAGGAGAAGAAAATAAGGAGACAAGAGGACGGCGTTTCTAGGCTTTGGCTAAGGAGCTAACTGTCCCCTGTCCCTTCTCTGAGAGTTCCCCCAAGCCTAAGATTGACCGCAATGTTTCTGCTCCCAAGTTAAAGGTGAACATGTTCTTTCTCTTCCCCAGCATGCACCAGGACACAACGGGCTATGTCTGCCTCCTCATCCAGCCAGCCAAGAAATCTGACGCCGGCTGGTATACCCTGTCAGCCAAGAATGAAGCTGGCATTGTGTCCTGCACAGCTAGGTTGGATATATATGGTAAGGGTGATGTCATTCAAGGAACACCTGTGCACGGAGGACAGTTGAAATATCATCTCCATGCGTAAATGAGATAGATAACACCCTCTGTTGTGCTTTGAAGATGGGTTCTCCCTGCCATTTGTTTTTTTTGTTTTGTCTTGTTTTTTGAAAATCAGGTGGCCAAACATGGCATCCAATGCCTTTACCAGCTCAGCCATCTTGCTGCACCTTCTTTTTCTGGAAATTCCAGCAGAAACTCCATTTACAAGAAAGGGATGTGTACCAGGCAGTGGCAACACACACCTTTAACCCCAACACTTTGGAGGCAGAGTGGATCTCTGAGTTTGAGGCCAGCCTGGGTGGGCTACAAAGTGAGTTCCAGGATAGCCAGAGCTATGCAGAGAAACCCTGTCTTGAAAAACCAAAATCAAAGGAAAAAAGAAAAGAAAAAAAATGACATGCATGAAATTCTTTGCTCAACCTCAGTGGCCCATAATTTCACTTTATCAGATTATAATTCTGAAGTCATCTGCAGAGCCGTTCTATAATCTTACTTACCAAGAAAAGAGAGAAGACAGGAGCAGGGATTATCTTTTTTTTTTTTTTAACAAGAGCACAAATCCACTTTTATTTATCTACTTTTCATTGGTTTAAATCTGGGAAGGGTACAGCATCACACGGTTCTGTGTCCAATGGCCCCTGCAGGAAGGTTGCTTCGGAATTTGGCTCGGACCATGCCGCTGTTTCCATGGGCCCGAGTTACTTTCCCCCAGATCACTCTGGTTTTGTTTGGTTTGCCTCCAGGTGTCATTGGGTTGTTTTTTTTTTTTTCTTTATACACATAAGCACATCTCTTGCCCAAGTAGAATTCAGTTTTATCTCTGGCATAAACACCTTTAATTTTAAGGAGAGCCGTGTGCTCTCTCTGGTTCTGGAGACCTCGCTTATAGCCAGCAAAAGTGACCTTGCACCACAGCCTTCCAGACATACTGTCCTTTAGAAGTCCTGTTCCCAGCAGGCCCCAGGAATCAGCCCCAAAGTTTAGCAAAAGGAACATCCCTCACCTCTACCTATCCTTTTTTTTAAAGATTATTATTACTTATGTGTGTGTGTGTGTGTGTGTGTGTGTGTGTGTGTGTGTGTGTGTGTGTACTAAGTGAGTGCAGTACCTGTGGAGATCAGAAGAGGGAGTCAGATCCCTGGAGCTGAAAATTATACACTTCCAGCTGGAAAGGAGAAAACGCAACAATTAATTGTTAATTGTGCAAGATTTTGTTGTTGTTTGTTTGTTTATTTGTTCTGAGATAAGGTTTCGCTATACCACCCTAGCTAGCCTACAACTCTCTATAGACCAGGCTGGCTTCAAAATCATAGAGATCCGCCTGCCTCTGCCTCCCAAGTGCTGGGATTAAAGGCGTGCGCCACCACCGCCTAGCACAAGGCAGGAAGGTTTAATGTTCCTTTTAGAAACGAGGAATCAGTGCTCCTCCCATGGATTCCTTTGATCGTAACATTTTGTCTGGCTCATTTTCCAGCTCAGTGGCACCAGCAGATCCCGCCACCCATGTCCATCCGTCCCAGTGGCAGCCGCTACGGGTCTCTCAGCAGCAAAGGACTGGACATCTTCTCTGCCTTCTCCTCCATGGAGAGCACGATGGTGTACTCCTGCACTTCTCGGAGCGTGGTGGAGAGCGATGAACTTTAAGGATGTCTCCGTGCCTGCTGTATGAGAGGGTGGACTGTGGAGGGGAAGGAAGACCGGTCATAGGCAGTGGTTTCCAAACAGCCGCATTTGAGTGAGTTCCCATCCTGCTGGACCCGTGGCAGGAAGTGTTTTAAGTAAGTTGGCCCAGGCTTTTTGAGCCTTGGCTGAGGGAGAGTTTAGGGCTGTGCATCTTAGAGATGCAAGTAGACAATTCTCACAAACCAAAGATACCACACCACTGCCACCGCGGCCTGAGGGAGGGGGGAGCGAGCGTGCTTCCCCACGCCGCATGTAAGGGACATTAGGCCCAACTAGGAGCAATTAGGAGCCATAGCCAGGGCTGAGAGAAGTTAGTGACTTTAGAATAGATGCAAAAGAGAAAGCTGGGGAGCCCATCATCACCTTTCATGGGTTACACATACCCACAGCGGTCATCTTGGTGAATTTGCTAGATGAGTTCCCACTTATTAACATTAGAGGATCTTGCCATACACCTCTCCGCCCAAGTGGTGAGACTCTTCACTTGCATATCCTGCCTGTGCAGTCACAGAAGCCAAAACATGCCTGAGATTTAAAAGCAAAAAACAAACAAAACCAACCAGGACACTCAAGATTTCACAGTGCACTCGTTACGTGGTCAAAACAAGGCTCCCACCAGCCTGTCTGCACCATTTTAGGCAGACAGTCACACCCACACCCACCCCCAGTGCCTAGATTGGCACCGGGCACAACGGAGACTTCAACAGACATCTGCTGGGGATGACGTACTCAGCTCTCTGCCATTCTAAGGCCAATCCAAACATGGCCCCGAGAGTGTCTGTCACGGCATCTGCTTCAGGCAAGCCTGGGATATGAACTGGGGGTGTCTGTTTCCAAATCCCCATGCTCAGATCTCTGGTGTTCTCTGTGCCAGGTCCCCCTCCGCTGGGAATTTTTAGCTGGAGATGGTAATTGCTTTAGAAAGGCTTGAGACCTTCTTTGCTTCAAGGCAAGGATTTGCAGTATAAAAATAAATGAATTTACTCAGCAAATCAGCGGCGTGTCTACTCTGTGTAAGACGCCGTGCCGGGTACCGTGGGCGACAGGAATAAGGGGGCTGGAGAGTTGAGTCGGCAAATAAAGGTGCTTGCCGCCAATGCTGAGAACCTGAGTTCGATTCTTGGAACCCACATGGTGAAAGGTGAGGACTCATTCACTCCTACAAGTTGTCCTCTGGCCTGCGCGCGCGCACACACACACACAAACACATTTAAGTACACTCAAAAAAATTCTCACTATTTTCAATTTTTTTTTTGTTTGTTTTTTCGAGACAGGGTTTCTCTGTGGTTTTGGAGCCAGGCTGGTCTCGAACTCACAGAGATCCGCCTGCCTCTGCCTCCCGAGTGCTGGGATTAAAGGCGTGTGCCACCACCGCCCGGCGTATTTTCAGTTTTGAGTTGTCCTCTTCTCTAAGAGGTAGCACCCACTGGGCCATGGTGGCACATGCCTTTAGCCTGGTCTGGGAATGATGATTTCAGTCAAAGACTCAGCTGGGTGCTTAGGCCTATCTCCTCTGGTGTAGGCAGTGACAGGAGGTAGAGGATGAGACACGCCACAGCACGCAAGTAGATGTTAGCTGGCAATCTGAGGGAACCGGCTCACTCCTTCCCCCAGACCCCAGGGACCCAGCCCAGGTTGTCAAGCTTGGCACCAATTGCCCTCACCAGCTGAAACAACTTGATAGCTTCAGGGGCAACTTCAACCTTAGACGGAATGTAGTAAAATGTTTCCACAGGGCCAGGTATCATGAGATCTCTGGTAACCAAGAATCGCTTTCTAAATCCTGAGACTGCCTCTGGAATACTGTGTATGTAATATTCAATATTCATATTATATATTCATATTCATCGTGCCTGTTTATACTTACATTCGTGCTTGGCATATATATTCAATTGTGCAATGCATATAATACCACCATTCTGTCTACTACGTAAAGTGTAGCCAGTTATGAATATCCTTCATCTCCCATGCCAGCACACTGAGTATTTTTTTTCCCCCCATCTGGTCCTTTATTATTATTCAGCAACAAAAATATTATATTTTGACACTGGGTGGTGCTGTCTCACTGAAAATAGAACAAGTCTCTCCTCTCCAGTGGGCGCTACTGGGTCCTGGTTTTGTTTCGTTTCGTTTTCCCCGCGTTCACAGGCAGGTTTGTTAGGTCATAGCTCAGGCCTGCATCACTGGCCGCGACATTTCCGCCTGCAGCTTCACTCCCGAGCCTGCGAAGCCCGTCCCGCCCCGCTGCAGCACGATGATGTCACGCTCTGTCAGGGTATCCCCATTCACGGGGTCCACCATGTCCTTCCGAATCAGTTTCTCCACACACTCCAGAGTGACCACCGCCCCAGAGGGCCGCAGCACTGCGCACGGCGTGGCGTTGCTCAGGCCGTCTCGGGTCACTGCACACACGTAGCGCTCACCGCGTGGGAGGAGCCCCACGCGGTCCAGAGAGTCATCCAGCCGCGTGAAGCGCACGGGCGTCAGGTCTGACATGCGTAGTGGCTTCCCAGACATCGGGCAGGTCACGATGCGGGATGGTTTTTCCCGCTTGGTGGCCTTTGCCTCGGGCGTCAGTGAGGGAACCCAGAAGCTGGGCAGTATTGTGTCCTTGTCCTTGCCTGGGGGACCCGCACTGGGCCCTGGCTGCTCATCACCTGCGTTGGGTAAGGAGGCAGCCTTGGGCATGAAGGGGTTCAGGGGCTGGCTCAGGATGGCTGCCTGCTTCTCCAGGAAGCTTCGAGCTCGGTCCTGGGCTGCAGCTCGTTGAAGCTGTCTCTGCTCTTCTCTGAGGGCTGCCCGCTGCTTCTCATAGCCCTTCATCTGCCAGGCAATCTTTTTCTTCTGGTGTAGGATGTATGCCAGGATTGCCTCCCGTTCATACAGGTAGCCATCTGGGGTGACCACAGGATCACGACAGGGCTGCAGCGAGAGACAGCAGCAGTCAAAGTCCTTCACAGCGTCCCGGTTCAGTCGAACTTTCTGGGTCCCATAGCCTGAGGCTTCTGTGTCTTTTTTCTTCTCCTGGTAGGTGTAGACCGCTCCGGCGCTGCAGTTCTTGGCGTGCCGCGTCATCCTCACAGTCGACTAGCCGACCCGCCGCTGCTTCAACTGTGTCCCGGGTTAGGTTTTGGATCAGGATTTCTGAATCTCAGCGATGCTGACTTAGGGGCTGTCCTGTGCACTGGCAGCGACCCTGGCCCCTTGCCCTACTTCGAGCTGTGGTGACTCCAATCTCCAGAATGACTCTTCCCTGAGAGGCAGAATTTCCCTTTGTTGAGAATGTCTATGAGGGAAAAAAAAATCAGTGAATTAGAACTCTATTGAAATGGAGGATATCTAAGTAAACTTAGATATCTGTGGATGTATTTGTAGCACACCCACAAACAAACCCACCGTCTTCCGTTTTTTATTTTTGGTTTCTTTGTGTTGCTTTGGAGCCTGTCCTGGAACTAGCTCTTGTAGACCAGGCTGGCCTCGAACTCACAGAGATCCGCCTGCCTCTGCCTCCCGAGTGCTGGGATTAAAGGCGTGAGCCACCACTGCCCGACCATCTTCCGTTTTGTAAGCCTTTGCTCAGTCTGGTTTAAGGATGTGTCATCCTCATCACCAGTAAGAAACAGCCAAGCTACTTCTTTCTCTTCGATGCAGTTTGCAAGTTCTTTTTTTTTTATCATTTAAAAAGATTTTTTAAATGTGTATCTGTGAGTATGCACATTTGTGTGGGAGAGCCCTGGGAGGTCAGAAGACATCCATCCAATCATCTGCAGCTGATGGGTGCTGGGAATCAAACTCAGGTCTTCTGAGAGAAAGGTAAGGACCCTTAACTGCTGAGCAATCTCTCCAGCCCTTGTTTTGGGTTTTTTCTTCCTTCCTTTTTTAAAAAAAAAAAAAAGTTTTTTTTTATTTATTTATCATATATACAGTGTTCTGTCTGTATGTCTGCTTGTCTTACCCTGAGTTGTGAGCCACTATATGGCTCCTGAGTTCAATTCCTAGCGACCACATGGTGGCTCACAACCATTTGAAAGGAGATCTGGTACCCTCTTGAGGAAGAGACCTGGTCAGCGTCCTCATCATCTTAGACCATGAAACCCAATGTGGACAAGTTCAACAGAACCACCATATACGCGCTGCCCATACTTGCTTCAGCATTAGCAGGGCATAAAACCATGCAATTTCTGGGAAATGAACTTGACCTCTGGAAGAGCAGCCAGTGCTCTTAACCACTGAGCCATCTCTCCAGCCTCATGCTTGGTTTTTCAAGACAGGGTCCCACTATGTAGCTCTGGCTGTCCTGGAACAAGCTCTATAAATCAGGCTGACCTTGGACTCTGTAGATTAGCTGTCCTATAAGACAATCCTCTCGCCTCAGCCTCCTGAGTTCTGGGATGGGATTACAGCCGTGAGCTGCCATGCCTGGTTGAAGGCCTACTTATTCTGACTCTTACCCAAGCCTTCCTTTCCAACCCCTGAGGTCCTGGGTTCAGAGACTTCCTTCTTCATTCTGACCGGCTATCGTAGCCTTCTGTCTGGCCTTCCTGTCTCTGGTCTGGCCTCTCCTCTGCCTCTACGGGTCTTTACCTATGGCAACTTTGTGTTCCTCTAAACCCATCAAATGCCACTGATTCTGTGACATCATGTCTCTCTCTCTCTCTCTCTCTCTCTCTCTCTCTCTCTCTCACACACACACACACACACACACACACCAAATAAAACATTTTCTTTGAAAGCTCATGGCAAATGTCCTGAGTCTGGAGGAACAGAAGACTGCTTTGTACATGGGTTTATAAAGCACGTAGACTTTGTACCCTGGCCTGCTTGCCCTTGGTGAGCTCACTCTTGGTCCAGGCTACCCACTTGTCGGTACATACTATGTGATATAGGCTATGTTAGGCATTAATTTTTGTGCCATATACAGAATACTCATCAACAAATATTTACTGGTTTAAGATTAATTTAAAATTTAAGCATGTAGCACCAATTCTAATTGTTCTTAATAAATAAAACCCGGAGTCAGATATTAGGGGGTAAAAGCTGAAGGATCAGAGAAGCAAAGTGGTCAGCCACTAGAGCAACCTTTTACCTCTACCAGTGTTCAGACTGTAGGGGTGATCCTGTCCTCAGACTGCAGCTGTCTCCACCAAACCTCAGACTGCACTGAGCTCCTGTCTTCTCCGCCTTATATTCCTCTCTCTGCCCAGCCATATCACTTCCTGTCTCCACCTCCCTGGTGCTGGGATTAAAGGCATGGGATCCCAAGTGCTGGGATCACCTTTGTTAGTTCAAAGCCACCCTGGGCTACAGGAGATTGAATCTGTCTAAAAGAGAAACAGAGCTCACACAGATATCCCTCTGCCTCCGTCTCCTGAGTCCTGGGATTAAAGGTGTGTGCCACCTCTCCCTGGCTTCTAGTGATTTAGGTCTGCCCTCTGATCTTCAGACAAGCTGTATTTGTTAAAACCCAAACAAAATATCACCTCATAAGTGAGTTTCTATGGGAAGTGAACAGAGTCTTAGCAAACAGTCTTACTCTTTTTTTTAAATTGATTTTTATTGAGCTCTACATTTTTCTCTGCTCCCCTCCCTGCCTCCCCCCTCTCCCTTTCAATCCTCCCTCAAGGTCCCCATGTTCCCAATTTACTCAGGAGATCTTGCCTTTTTCTACTTTCTACTTCCCATGTAGATCGTATCTATGTAAGTCTCTCTTAGTGTCCATATTGTTGCCTAAGTTCTCTGGGATTGTGGTTCGTAGGTTGGCTTTCTTTGCTTTATGTTTAAAAACCACCTATGAGTGAGTACATGTGATAATTGTCTTTCTGTGTCTGGGTTACCTAACTCAAAATAATGTTTTCTAGTTCCATCCATTTTCTTTGGGGGGGGGGGTTCGAGACAGGGTTTCTCTGTGGTTTTGGAGCCTGTCCTGGAACTAGCTCTTGTAGACCAGGCTGGTCTCGAACTCATAGAGATCTGCCTGCC